AAAAAAAAAACAAAAATTCTTTTACTGTTTAATTTTTATATGACTTCAATGTTTGGGCAAAAAAAAATGACAACAGACATTGTGCCACCATTGTCATGTTGTACAACTAGTACCACAAGTTCGGTTCGACTTCTAGCTTAAAAAGCCATCAGATGCCGACTTGACAATAACGATGACAACAGCAACGACGACGACGACGACAACAACAACAACAGTAGAAAAGAATTCGAGAAACTTGTTGAACAAAACTTAAAATAACCCGAACATTGACGTCATTATAGTCACCGACATGAGGCCAAAAAATAAAATTAGAGAAGGAAAACGTTATGAAGGGCAAAAATTGACTGGAAACTTTGTGGTGTGATATGTGGCACCACCCAAAAAAATTTCTTCCTTCATTCCAACTGTGGTGGTGAAAAAAATGCGGAAAAAAAAAAGTATGATTACTAAGTTTTAAAATTATTTTGTTTATACAAAATAAATATTGCCAATGTTCATTTTTTCATTTTTTCATAAAAAAGTGGTGTACAACAAAAGACAAAAATGAAAATTTTTTTTTTTTGCAGTGGAAAGTTTAAGTTCAAAATTCAGATCAGTTTGTGTTGTATTAACAATCATCTAAGATAATAGGCTTATAAATGCAAAAAAATGAAAAAAAAAATGAAAAATTTTTGTCTGCATTTAATGCTAATATTTTAAACAGTAACAGGAAAAAAAAAAAACAAATACATTGGTTTCTGGAAAAATAATGGTTAGAATTCTTCTGCTTTTTTTTTCCCCCCCCACCCCTTTCCCCCTCCTCACAAAAAAAGTTACCAATTAACAAAAACAGAAAACATGAGAACCAAAAGAAAAAGCAAAAATATGTTGTCCATTCTTCCACCAAATAACTTTGAATAAATTGAACAAATATAACAGAATAAGACAAGGAAAAAAAATTAATTCTAGAAAAAAAAAGACTTTTTTTTTTCATATATTTATAAATGTTCTTTACCAGTCATTTTCGTCATCGCTACTGCAGAAGAAAAATTTTGAGCCTCCAGTATTTGTTGTTGAACGACGATGCTCTGGAAAAAAAAGAAAAAAACAGATAAAGTCAAAACTAAACTAACAACTAACTAACTAATAGCTAAATTTAGATTAATTCTACTTTTTGCAATTTCAAAAAAAAAAAAAAACGAATTTTATTAGACTATTACTTCTGTTTTTTTTTTTTTCGACCATAACACATTGTTTGTAGAAATTCAATTAATGATCTGTTAATGCTTTCTATGTCTTTAGTGTGTCTTCAACCCTTAGGTTAGGTATTCCATTAATATACTAATCACTAATAAATAACTGTTATTGCTCAAAAATAAATTAGTCGGTCTGTATTTTGCCCGTTCAATTTTGATGACTTTTAAATTGAAAAATAAATAGATAAATAAATAAATAAAAACTTACTTGAGCTAGGGAAGTGGAATGTATTTTCATTAGAGAAACCAAAACCTCTAAATGGTATATCGTCATTCATAAAGTCCTAAAAATTATATCTAATTGACATCTGATAATTAGATGTTACACTATAGAAAAAAATAAAAATATGTTTACTATAATTACTTTAATTGTACTATGCTATCGTTACAAACAACAACAACAGTAACAACAGTAAAATTTTCTTACTGCAAATGGATTTCGATCACCGAAGAACTCATAGAAAATATCGAAGGGTGAACGGAAATCATGATGGAAACCGCCATGAGATTGTCGTCTTGGTCGGCATGTCATTGATTCAACACCCGAACGATCATAAGTGCTTCGTTTTTTAGCTGAAATTGACAGCACCGTTCACTACTGTATGGTTTATTAGATTCTTATCGACAATAAAGAATATGTGGTAAAACTTTTGACTTTGTTTCAACCATACAAACAATAAATGCATTTTTTTTTTTAATTTATTAATCAGCAATATTATTGTTTCTTGAAAGCAAATTTTTGTTTGAAAGTAATCTGTTTGAATACTTTAATGGGGACTAAAAGGTTACATTTAAATGTTTTGGCATTGTTGATTAAAGTTCACACAATTCA